ACGGGAGATCACTGTGCATTAGTTTCCAACTGCTGTCATAACCAATCGCGACCAATTTAGCAGTTTCAAAAGACACCAGTTTATTATCTTATGCTCCGGAGGTTGGGGGTCCCACATGGGCCTCGCAGGCTACACCCAGGCGGGGTAGGGCCAGGCCATTCCGAGGCTCCAGGAGAACCGTCCCAGCTTCCAGAGGCGCCACGTCCCAGGCTCACTGCCCCTTTGCCCTTGTCACAGCCGGCAGCGTGGCCTTGTCCACGTCTCTGACTCTGAGCCTCCTGCTTCCCTCTTACGAGGACCCTATGAGGACACTGGGCCCCCAGAAATCCAGAGTCGCCCCTCTCAGGGGCCTTGACTCGATCCCACCTGCAAAGTCCCTTTTATACCATGTAAAACAACACGTTCAGAGGTTCTGGGGACGTGGGCACGGACCTCCTGGGGGAGGGGTCACTACTCAGCCCGCCACGTTTGTGGTGTTGGCACCGTTTGGTATCATCACGGAGGTGTGCACACACAAACTTAGGCACGCGCATAACGAGTCCAAGGAAAACTGGAGAAATCTGACAAGATTCTGTGAGTCGTGTCAATGTTGAAAGCCCGGTCATAGTATTGTATTCGCGGTTCGCCTGTGCTTTGCGCCCAGTTACCATGGCAGGGCAGGGGGCGGGGGGGCTGCATCTTTCGTAGTATTTCTTACAACTGCATGTGACTCTACAATGATCTTAATATAAATGTCAATTTTGAAAAGACAAAAAAAATCACCTTAAAATACTGATCGCATTTACTGAGTTTTTTGCACCCCCTTCGTTCCGTGCTCAACACCCCTGCGTCCCCCACCGCTGAAAATTCTCCTCCCTCTGATTCCATTTGTGGAGAAATCATTCAACTCCTATTTATTTCGCCCTTTCTTAGCAGAGGTTCACGTTTTGAGAAACTACAAGTCCAGAAGGGTGACAGCCCTACACGTAGTCAATAAATTATGTCTGTCTCTGCACTGGGTGCCAAGATTGAACAGGGGGCCAGAACCCGGAGTGGGTCACTCCGCCTGGGTGGGCGCTGGAGGCCAGGCTGGACGGCCACGCTGAGATCAGAAATATAAGTAAGTGTGGCGGGTTCAACTGTGTCCTTCAAAATGGCATGTTTGCACCCTGCCTGCCCCTCAGTTCCTGGGAGCGAGAGCTTATTTGGAAATTGGGTCTTTGCAGAGGGAATCGAGTTCAGATGAAGTCACACTGGAGTAGGGTGGGCCCCCAATCCAGTGACTGCTGTCCTTACAGGACGAGGGAAATCTGGACACAGACACAGGGACACAGCCGAGGACTGCCGGCCACCGCCAGAAGCTGGAAGTGGCAGGAACGACCCTCCACCGAGCCTTCAGGGGGCTCCTGGCCTCCACTGCCTTGCTCAAGCGTAGCCGAGGCCACTATCAGGGCCTCACAGGTCTGCAGGTCCAGGATTCCGAGGTCCCTGACACACAGGGCCTTCCTTGCCTTTGGGTGCGGCCTCCATATCTGCTTCCTGCAGCCCTGGGCCTATCTCCTTCCCCCAGGCCTGTCTCTACAGATCACACCTGGCACTCTGCCCTGTAGCCCTCCAGAGTCGACAGAGCGCCTGGCCCAAGGGAAGCCCCGCGAGAACTTCGCCCAGAGTCACAAAACACTGTCAGAATGTCACCTGGAGTCACCAGACACAGTGATGATGGTGTCCTTGCAAGCCAGCCAAGGTGGGCTGCACGCCCAGGTATCCGGGATCAGCTTTTAAACCCAGAGGAAGACAGTAAACTAATAATAATAATAATAATAATCAGAATGTTGGCTCCGATCATCAGAATGTTGGCTCCATGAAGCCAGACACTGTTCCATTGTATGTCCTCTACGCCTGGGACAGTGCCTGCCACACAGTAGGTGCCCAGTAAATATGTGCGAAATGAACGACTGAATATCTTAAACTCGTAGTTGGCCTATCGAAATGACTCTGTTGCTATGCATGGCATATTTAATGCACTACTTGGTCGGTCTCCCTATCGATGGACAGTTCGATAATCGATAATGAATTTATTCCTTCCTCAAATACTCATTCAGCATCTACCGTGTGCCCGGCGTGTAGCAGGTGCTGGGGTCCACTCAGTGGTGTGCTGGCCCCGGAGGGTACTGACTCGCTGGAGTCACTGTCCGGGATTTCGTGAGTGGACCGCGGTGGGACTGTTCGGGGCTCTATTTGTACTTTCCAGATTGTGTCATATGATGTAGAACGAAGCAGACAAAAATCCCAGCTCTCACAGTGCTTGTATTCTAGTGAGGAAGACAGGCAGTAAACAAAATAATTAGAAAAACAAACAGTAAAACATAGATGCTATGGGGAAAAATAAAGCAGGGAACTGAATAAAGGAATGCAAACGTTTCAGTGAGGGAGTAAATAGAGATATTTGGAAGAAAAAAAGTATTCTAGGTCAACAGCATGTGCAAAGGCCCTGAGGCTGGACCTTGCCTGGCTTGTTGGAGGAACAGTGAGGAGGCCCCTGTGCCTGGAGCAGAGTGAGCTTGAGGGTGAGGGAGGAGGGCAGGGCGGGGAGGAGACGGGCAGGTAGAGCAGGGCTTTGGGGGGAGGGGGCGGGAAGGACTTGGCTTTTACCCAGAGGGAGGTGGGAGCCCTGGAGGGTGGTGGGCAGGGAGGGGCCTGACTCGGGCGCTCACAGGTGCCCTCTTGTGGTTGCTGTGGGGAGGACAGACTGAGGGGGAGGAGCGCGTGAGCCGAACGTGGGGGTGCTGTCCGGTATGGAGCGAACTGCACACTGGTCCAGGTTAGTGATAATGGGGGCTGAACCCCAGGGAAGGTAGAGGCGGTGCTGTTAGTGCTTTTCCATTTTTTTTCTCATTTCAAATAATGTTGCAAGGAGTATTTCATTTTTACTTTTTTTATATTGCTGTCCGATAAATTCGTCAAAATGGATTCGCAGACTCAAAGGTTGAAAGGTTAAAACACTTTTTAAATGTTTAACTTGGAAATATTCGAACGTTGAGAATAGAAGTAGCCCTCCTTTTCCTTGACACCTATTTTCCACTGGTTTATTATAAAAACTTTCAAATGTATAGAAAAGTTAAAAGAATTTTAAATTGAATTGTCATATGCCCACCATCCACTTTCTCTAGTTACCATTTTGCTACATTTTATCTACTACATAACTATCCACCCTTCTATCTACCCATCAATATATCAAATTTTTTACGCATCTCAAAATAAGTTGTATACATCTTAGGATGTCTATCATCAAAAGTGGAAAATAACAAATGTTGATGAGAATGTGGAGAAATTGGAACCCTTGTGCACTGTTGGTGGGAATGTAAATTGGAGCAGCCGCTGTGGAAAACAGTTTGGGAGTTCTCGAAAGTTAAACATAATAGTTACCACATGACCCAATAATTCCTCTCCTGGGTATGTATCCCCCCAGGGGAGTCAAATACAACTTGCACACCCACGTTCACAGCAGCATGATGTACAAGAGCCAAAAGGCGGGAACAATACGTGTCCATCAGCAGATGAGAAGATAAAATGTGGTCCATTGACATGCAATAGAATATTTATTCCTCCCTGAAAAGGAAGGAAATTCAGATACACGTTACAACGGGGATGAACCTTGAGGACATTATGCTCAGTGAAATAAGCCAGACACAAAAGGACACATACTGTGTGATTCCACTTTATGAGTTCCCTAGAGGAACTGACTTCACAGAGACAAAAAAAATATAACAAGTTAACAGGCCTGTGGCCACTGTGAATAACGTTGCTGTGAACATGGGTGTACAATTGCCTGAGCCTGCTTTCATTTCTCTTGGGTGTATATCTATGGTAGTTCTATGTTTAACTGTTTGGGGAACCATCATACTGATTTGATATAGTCCCTTAAAAACTCTCTTTTTCTTGTGTGGACAGCATCCTGGTGACAGCTAGTGGTGGCCTGGACCCTCATGGGGGCAGTAAAGGTGGGCAAAGTGACTGATTTGGATTCTTAGAGAGGTAGAGTCCACAGGACCGAGGCTGGACGTGACGAGAAGCTTAATGGTTAATGGCCTCTCCCTCCCTCCAGTTACTCATGTCAACACCCTGTACTTATCTTGACAGGTTAAGACTCTCGGGGGAGGGGAGAAGTAGACGGGGTAATAGGGGTCAAATATGTGGTGACACAGAGAAATCTAACTATGAGGGGTGAACACAATATAAAAATATATATGGCTTACTGTTAAAATGTACTGAAATTCATCGGATTTCATTAATTAATGTCAACACACACACACACACACACAATTTTCTCCCAAATTCCATACCCAATCCATTCGCGAATCCTGTTTGCTCTACATACCAGCCTAAAAGCTCCCCTTAACACCTCCAGTGGCTTCTCAAGGGTAAACCTGCAGGCTATCCCATCCTCAGCGCCCATGAACAATTCGGCAAGTGAATTAATGAATGAATGACTCAATCATGTCTTTTTAATCCCGCCTTCTCTCTCTGGTCTAGCCACGGTCATTGGCCACGCCCAGGGACGCTGCGCATGCTCCGTCACTATCCACCCCCCCACGGGCTGAATCGGCACAAACCATTTCCACAAGTCGTACCGGGTGGTGCGGCCGCAGAGAATCGCTTTCGGAGAAAGGATGGACGTTGCCCTCCCCCTTCCCTGAGGGATTTTCTTAGACTCCTTCTGGTGTGGGAGTGTAAGTTATGGTGCCGGTGCCGACGCGCGCTTCCGGGTCTCCTCCCGCCGCGCAGCCTTTGACTGCATCTCCCCCCTGCGCGCTGCGTTGGTGCCGTCCGGCTACGTCACGTGGGTGGCAAGATGGCAGCCCCCAGAGCGCGCTGTGAGCGTCGCAGTTGGTGAAGTGGCGGCGGCGGCGGCCCAGCCTGGCGATCCTGCGTTTCGGGCGTTCGCTCCGGCGTTCCGGCGGCGGGGAGCACGGTGCGGGGCCCGGACCTGGCGGGCGGGCACGGGGCGGACACCTCGGTGGGGGTCCCGGCTCTGGGATTCATTGGCTGGCGGTTGGAGGGGCCTCCTCACGAGAGGTCTCGAGTGCCGGTGAACTCTTCTCCCTGGTTCTGGGGTCCCAGCGCGTGCGGGGGTTCCATGTCGTGCGACTCCTTTCTCAGGGTTCTGGGAGGACCGGTAATCGAGGGTTAGTGTAGACAGATCCTGAGGCGTCCAGTTCTTAGGAGTCCATCCTAAGGAAAGGGGTCTTGCGAGCAGCCCTGAGGGATCCCTCCTGGGGGGGCCTGTCTAGTTACTGGAGATCTTTTTGAGAATTCTTGATTTAGAGAGGTTTTTAGGAGGGGAAAGGGTTTCCTGGATCTAGGTCTGTTCCTCCATCCCTAATTCATCTTGTGTGTCTGAGACCTTCTTCACAGGTGTGAGCAGATTCTGCCTTGGTCGGGGGCTCATCCCCTCAGCCCCACGCCCACGCCCCGGACCCCCATCCCAGTGAAAAATAGGCCTCAGGTGTGATCTGCGGGCTTCCAGCTGGTAGGCGTAGTGTCCCGTGTCCTCAGGAGCACAGAGGCAGGTGTGGGGCTCCATACAGAAATTCTTAATAGTAGCTCAGCTTTATTAGGTGCCTAGCGTAACTTCATTGACGATAACTCTGTGAGGTCCCCGATCCCCTTCTGCCCATTTTCCGGATGATACTGATTTTATACCGTGTATGAAGTGATCAGGAGCGTGCCTGGCAGGCAGTAGATGTTCAGTTCAGCAGATATTTATGGAAGGCCTGTCAGGAGGCCTGGGTCTCTTGATTTGCTGCGTGGGCTCACTCCTGGCTTCTGCGAATTCCGATGAGCCCTCTTTCAGGGGTCACCTTCTTTGATGCTCACCTGTGCTCCTGCAGCTGCACCTCCCTCCTTAAACCAGGTGGCCCTGCTGATGCCGCTGGGAGCCCGAGGGCTGCTGACATGCTGCGACCTGCTTGTTATATTTACGAAGCGGCCACCAGGTCCTCACTGGCCTAGAGGACAGAGGGGGAACACTCCTCCCAGTCTTAGCTGTGTTGTTCCATCTTATTTCATCCACTCAACACAGCATCATCGGTTCAGAGCTCAACTCCGGAGCCCAACCACCTGGATTTATAACTTCACGCTGTTTCTAAGCAAGTCATCACCCTGCCTGTGCTTCTGTTTCCTCTTCTGTAAGATGACGACAGTCTTAGCGCCTGTCTCATCGAGTCGCGGTGAAGGTTAACAAGCTCATAACTCTAAAGGGCTCAGGAGAGGTGCCTGGCGCGTAGCATGTGCTCTGTAAGTGTCAGCTGCTGTTACGGTGCGGGTTCTTGTTCCTCCCGAGACCCTCCTGTGTGCCGGGCGTGCAGCAGTGACTGAGAGACTCGGTCCCTGCCTTCAGAGTCCAGTGACGGACCAGACTGACCGACCACAAGAGGCTAAACCAATAAATACCCAGTACGGTGTCTCACGGTGGTACGCGCTCCAAAGAAAGAACAAGGAAAAAGAGATAGAGGCGTAACGCTGAAGACGTGATCAGGGAAGGCTTTCCTGAAGAGGTGACATTAGAGACTCAAGGAAGCGAGTGAGCGAGCATGGGGGGCATTTTGGGAAGAGTGTACCTTAGGGCAAGAACAGCCCATGCAAAGGCCTTGGGGCAGGACTGCGCGTGGTGTGTTGGGGGTACAGTGAGGAGGCCTGTTTGGTCGAGTGCAGTGAACAAGGGAAGAGAGGAAGGAAGTGAGGGCGGGGAGAGGACAGGGACAGGTCACACGGGGCCTTTGAGACTGTCAAGGAGTTTGGAGTAATGAAGCACCGTGATGTGTTGCAAGGGAGTCACATGGCCCGGTTTACATGCTGAAAGGGTACCTGTATTTGTTACCTACGCTGGGTAACAAATTATCCAGTGTTTCTTACAACCTGCCCTCAAGTCACACTGTCATTTCTTCCATATCCTATTGTTCACATAGGTCACTCCTATTCATTTGGGGGGATGGATACCAGAGGTGGGCGTCATGGGGGGCCACCTTGAGGACCAGCTACCAGTCCCTCTGGCTGTGGTGTGAACAGACCAGCGGAGGTCACTGCTGATGACTAGGCCAGAGGCCCAGAGAGGGAAAGTAAATAATGGAGACCCACACAGCAAGTAGGCGGGGCCAGAGCAGCCAGATTTTCACCCTAGATGTCAGGCCGGACAGCGGCAGGAAGCCACCACCAGGTCCCAACGTAAACGAACAAGTCAGTGAGCCGGAGAAGGACACCTGTAACCTGGCCTTTCGGTTTTCCGTCATAGGTTCTTGTGCCTGAGGAGAGCCACAGAAGGAAAAGGTGGCTGCCATGGTGACGGAGCAGGAGGTAGAGGCCATCGGGCAGACGCTGGTGGACCCCCGGCAGCCCTTGCAGGCGCGCTTCCGGGCGCTCTTCACACTCAGAGGGCTCGGCGGCCCCAGCGCCATCGCCTGGATCAGCCGGGCCTTCACCGATGACTCTGCTCTGCTCAAGCACGAGCTGGCCTACTGCCTGGGCCAGATGCAGGACCGCCGGGCCATCCCCGTGCTAGTGGACGTGCTGCGTGACACCTGCCAGGAGCCCATGGTGCGTCACGAGGCTGGTGAGTGGCGGGGCTGCGGGTGCAGGTGCCCTTCTGCCTTGCGGACACGCACTCACGTGACCCAAACTTGGGCCCCGCGGCCGGTCGCCACAGCTCCACTCTGCCATCCTAGCAAAAAAGCCACCATGAACCAGTCAACAGATGGGCATGGTCATGTGCCAGTAAATATTTATGGACTCTGAGATTTGTATTTCACATAATTTTCACCTGTCGTGAAATATTATCCCTTTGATTAAAATAATTTTTTTGAACTGTTAAAAACATTCTTCACACATAAAAACAGGTGTTGGGCCGTAGACTGCCAGCCGCTGATGCCTGTTTTATCCATTTCATCCGTTGGTCGGTCATTGTTTTGAGCACGTTCTGAGCATCCCCTGAGGGGCCCAGGGCCTGTCCCCGCCTGCCCAGTGACCTGAGCTCTCTGCCTGGCTCTTCTCAGGGGAGGCCCTGGGGGCCATTGGGGACCCGGAAGTTATGGAGATCCTGAAGCAGCACTCCACCGACCCTGTGCTGGAGGTAAGGTGGCCGGGCCCCGCCCCTGGGTCTGGTTGCCAGGGCAACTGCTTGGCCAGGGATTCTGGGGAGGGGTGGTGGTGTGGGTGGATGCAGCCCACTGCCCCGCTGGGCACAACCGAACCCTTCTCCCCACCAGAACCTGCCCTGCTTGGCCAGCCTGTACTTGGCCCTGAGCCCTCACCTCTCCATCCATCCATCCATAGCTTCTCATCACCTTTAGGATAAAATCCCAGGTCCCCACTGTGACCCGCAGTCTGTAAGTCTGTTCTGAGCACTGGTGGATCTGGCAGGCCCCGCCTCCCGGCCTTTGCACTGGGTTTCCACGTCACCTCCACATGGAGCCCCTCCGGGGCCCTGTCTCCCCCATCACTCCCAGGAGATGCGGTAGGGGTCTCGTCAGGCCCACCCCCACATCCCCACCGGTCACCCCTTTCCCTGTAGGTGGCCGAAACCTGCCAGCTGGCCGTCCGGCGTCTGGAATGGCTGCTGCAGGGCGGCGGGTCGCCTGCCGCTGGGCCCTACCTGTCAGTGGACCCGGCCCCGCCCGCTGAGGAGCGCGACGTGGGCAGGCTGCGGGAGGCGCTGCTGGACGAGGCCCTGCCGCTCTTCGACCGGTACCGAGCCATGTTCGCCCTGCGCGATGCTGGCGGCGAGGAGGCTGCCCTGGCACTGGCCGAGGGTGAGGAGGGGCCCCAGTGAGGCTCTGGCCGCGTCTGGGACAGGGAGCAGTGGGTACCGAGGCATGCGCCCCGGCCCAGCCCCCCCCCCGCACTTCCGCACGAGTTGACTCATCCTCGGAGGCGGCGAGTGCTCTTATTGCCCCCCATCCCCATGGGTGGATAACAGGCCCCCCAGGCAGGGTGACTTGCCTGCGGTCACACAGCCTGTCAGCAGCGGCCCTGGAGATGGACCCTCGACAGCCTAACTCCAGCGCCCTGTTCTTACCTGCCCAGCCCCACGTCCCCCGGTGTCCCCACCTGCCCGGATGGCACTGCCCAGCAGTGACCCCGCCCCCTGCCCCCCACAGGCCTGCGCTGTGGCAGCGCCCTCTTCCGCCACGAGATCGGCTACGTATTGGGCCAGCTGCAGCACGAGGCCGCCGTGCCCCAGCTGGTGGCGGCCCTGGCCCGGGGCGCCGAGAGCCCCATGGTGCGGCATGAATGTGCTGAGGCCCTGGGCGCCATCGCCCGGCCCGCCTGCCTGGCCGCCCTGCGCGCCCACGCAGCTGACCCCGAGCGCGTGGTGCGGGAGAGCTGCGAGGTGGCCTTGGACATGTACGAGTACGAGGCGGGGCCGGCCTTCCAGTATGCCGACGGGCTGGAGCGGCTGCGCCCGCCCCCCAGCCAAAGCCTCTCCCCTGCGGATCCATGACCTCGCCCGCTCCCCTCCGGGTCGCGCTCGCTGGTTCCTGCGAATTGGAGCTCGCTTCTTGTCTGTCCACTTGGGACCCCAGCCGCCTTTTCATCTCGAGTACCTCCCCCACCCGGGGTCTGGCTGAGGTCTCTGCTGTCCCCCTACTGAGGGGCCTAGCACAGAGCTGCAGGCCTCAGGGCGGGATGTCAGCATGGGGTAAGGGTCTGATGGGGTGCAGGCGTGGGACTGTGCTCGTGGGAGGTTGGGGTGGGCCACCTTTTTGAGGAATGAGGGGGTGCAGGGGAAGGTGTGGTGGACTGGGCTAGGGACTTGGGCTGGGGAGGGACGAGCAGGCCCCAGGTCACAGCTTAAGTGGAATAAATTATTTTTGCCAAATAATGACTTTGAGTGTGTTGGGTGGCCGCAGGGGTGGGCTGGCTGTTCTCAGGGAACATCCCTTAGGGGTGCGGGGCCTGGAGTGTTAGCTCCTTGCCTGTCCTGTGCCAGACAAGCCTGTCCTGCTCCCTCGCTGTCTCCCTAAGGGAAAGTTGCCCAGTCAGCTCCAGGGGGGTACGGGAAACAAGCCTTCCAGCCTGGTCCTCCCCAGACCCTCGTGGGGGCACAGGGGAAGGGGTTTGGTGGTATGGCTAAGAGCCTGGGCTGTGGGACCCCAGCCCAGCTCCCCCTCCTCTAGGTGCAGCCTTAAGCAGCCCAGTTACTGTTGTACAAGGTGAGCCTAATGACGACCTAACCGCATCTTCCTTTCTGTGGGTCGACAGTATCCCCGATGCAGGTGGAGGGGGGCTCCCTGAGGCGCAGGTGCCAGGAGGCGGGTCCTCGACCTGCCTTAACTACGACCGTCTCTTCTGCTCGCAGCCCTCTGACACCAAATGCGTGGGTTTTCCACACGCAGCAATTCTGTTTCCATGTGGACGCCAGCCTGGTGCCCCGCAATTCAGTGCAGTCCCAACGCTAGGGTCCCGGGCTTAGCGCAGCCCCCAGGACCGCCCCCAGGACCGCCCCCACGTCAGAGGCCGTCTGGCCCCGAGCCTCCCGGGCTTGTGCTTCCTACCGACTGGGGTCCCCACCACCCCACCTCACGTTTGAGATTTTGCTGGAATGGCTCGGGACTGAGGAAAGCATTTTACCTACCCGTTTGCTGTAAAGGACAGAGGAAGAGGCACACGGGGCGAGGTCCCGAGGGCTCCCTCCTGTCCATGTGCAGCTGGGGCCCGTGGCCTCCTTGGCACGTGGAATCTCCCTGAGTCCCTTCTTTTCGGGTTTTTATGGCGGGCCCATCACGCAGCCTTGTTGATTAAGTCATTGTTCGCGAGTGAGTGATCAGCCCCAGCCCTGCCCTCCCGGGGCGGGGTCAGGCTGCAAGTTCCCGCCCACCCCATTAGCATGCGCTCAGGTGTGGTGGGAGGGGTCATTTTGGAAGCACAAAGGGGCCCTCTCATCGCTTAGGAAACGACAGGGTTTTAGAAGCTCAGTTCCAGGAACCTGGACAAAGACCAAAGATGCGTTTCTTATCTGTGTCGCCCTTCAGCCGCTGCCCTGACCCCAGCCCGTCGCCAGCCCGGCCATTTCTTCAGCCGTTCCCCTTTCTCTGTTTTCCCTCTTTATCCATTCGCATGGACAGGAGTTAATTTCTTAGAAATAAGGGGAAAAAACCCACCACCCCTCCTGTCCCCACTGTCACCCGAGGAAGCGTGGTCAGACCCTCACCAGCTCCCATGCTCACCCTTCTCTGATACACCAGCCCCAGCCAGGCTCTGCTCATCTCGTCCCCAGAACTGTCCTTGCCCACAGGTGACCTTCCTAGTGCCCATCTCGTCCCCAGAACTGTCCTTGCCCACAGGTGACCTTCCTAGTGCCCTAGTGCCCGGTAGTCACATCTCAGTCTCTGTCCTCCCCTCCCCCCAGCAGTGTCTGACCTGCCCGGTCCCCCATCCTCCCAGGAGCTGGCCCAGCTTCCCTTCCACCTCTCGGGACTCCTCAGTGCCTCTCAGTGCCCCTCGCTGCCCAGGGCTGGATCCCAGGGGCTCCGCTCACCCTGCCTCCCTCCAGGCGGCCCGTTCCACTCGAGGGGCTCCAAACCCGTCTATGAGCTGGTGACACCCACAGTCCTGTCCCCATCCCAGGGCTCACCTGAGCTCCAGACTCAGGGCCCAGCTGCCTCTCGGCATCTCCACTTTGATACCGATGAGGCACCCCAAACCCAGCACATCCTTACAATTCCTCATGTGACCTCCAAAGTTGCTCCTCCCACAGGAAGTGGTTATGCCATCATCCAGGTGCAGCCTAACAACATCCAGGTGTGACCACCTTAAAATCTATCCCAGATGCACCCACTTCTCCCTTCCTCCACCGCCCCGCGGGCCAGCCCGCCGTTGCGGGCCAGGACCAGCTCAGTACCCTCCGCCCTGGTCTGTCATCCCTTCAGCAGCCACCAGAGGGCGCCCAGTCAGGTCCGGGCCCCTCTTCGGCCCACAGCCCTCCAGGGCTCCCACCTCCCTCTTGGTCAAAGCCCATGTCCACCCCATGCACATGGGGCCCTGTGCGACTAACCCCCCCTTGCAGCTCTCCCCTCTCCCTCTCTCCTCCTAAGCACCCTGCTCCACCACCGAGGGCTTCTTTGCTGTTCCTCGGACGTGCCAGGCACGGTCCAGCCTCAGGGCTTTTGCACGGGCTGTGCCCTCTGTCACCTGAGGTGTTCCCCTGGCTGTTTCCCTTCCTTCTCTAGGTCTCGGCTCAAATGTCACCACAGTATGACCTTTTTTTTAAACTTTAACTCCCCTTCTTGCAGTGCCAGCCCTTTAGACCAGTGGTCCCCAAACTTTGTGGCACCAGGGACCGTACTCCTATGAGAATCTAATGCCTGAGGAGCTGAGGGGGAGCTGAGGCGGTGATGCCAGCGCTGGGGAGCGGCTGCAGATACAGATGAAGCTTCGCTCGCTCACCTGCCGCTCACCTCCTGCAGTGTGGCCCGGTTCCTAACAGGCCACAGATCAGTACCGGTCCGTGGCCCGGGGGATGGGGTGGGGTGGGGGTGAGGTTGGGGATCCCTGCCTTAGACCACGGTCTCTGCCCCTCCCCCATACTCATCACTTTCTGACCCAATACATCATTTACTCTAAGGTTCGGTTTTTCTCAGCCCACGTCCCCACTCTGAATGTCGGCTCCACGAGCAGAGGGTTATCCCAAGAGCAGGAACAGCCCGTGCAAAGGCCCTGAGGTGGGGCGGACGTGCGGGGTAGCAGCTGGTGTGGCTGGAGCTGAGTGAGGGATGGGGCCGGCGGGCAGAGTGATTTGCGATGTCATTCATCCAGGCAGATGGTAGCTGTGGGGGAGGCCCAATCTTCTTACTCAAAGCCCTTTAATACTTCCGCTGCACGGGTCACCTCCGGGCCTCTCCTGGTCTAGGTGGCCACTATGCCGGGGCTGGCGGATGAGGATGGGGCCGAGGGCTGGAGCCAGGCCCCGCCGCTGTACGAGGAGTACCGCCCACCGCCACTGGACGCCATCCGCCTGCCCAGATACGTGCTGTACCTGCTGCTGGCTGCGTTCCTGGTGGTGGTGGTGGCCTATGCCATCGTCGGGCACCTCATCAAGGACCTCGCCCACGACCTGGCGGGTGAGCCCCAACCGCAATCGCGGGTGTGCCCTGGGCACGTGCGGGGGCCGTGCGGGGGTTTCCGAAGGCTCCCCGTCAGGGAGGGTAGGGGGTGGGCGGGGCGCCTGTGGAAGCCAGTGCATGCGCAGAGGGCGGACAGGGCCCGGGGAGGCCCCTCACCAGCCTCTCCCCGCAGACTGGGCCTTTGGCCCGAAGCCAGACCAGGAGGATCCCCCCCGGGAGCTGCGCCCAAGCCCAGAGGGCGAGGATCTAGAGGAGCTGGACCTGCAGCTGGCCCTGGCCTGGCGGGGCGACGAGGACGCTGGCGGGGGTGGCGAGGGCACCCCCGCAGGAGCCCCTGCCCCGGCACCCCGCCGCCCTTCCATCTCCTCCCAGGTCCCGCCAGGCCGAAGATCCTCCTGGAGGCTGGACTGAGCCGGACACCGCGCTCCGGCCCAGACCCACCGCGCTCGCCGCCCTCGCCCCAGTGAGATGCCCTGTCGTGGCAGAGACGGTCTCTCTCTTGGTTGGCGGGCCCTTGGTGGCCGGACGCTGCCTATTTCCACATTTTTGCTCCCCCCAAACGCCCGGAGCCTAACCCCAGCCGGCCTCCACCAAGCCGCTGGCCAATCTGTAAACCTAGAACCCGAGATTTACAAAGAGATACTAGCTGGACCTCACATTGGTGCCTGCCATCATGCTGGGTAAGGCCTTCCCTTGGCCTCCTCATCCAAGTGGGGAAACGGAGGCACACAGCCTGGAGACAGCGTGGTTGGGGCTCGGCCCCTACCCCCTCCGCTGGGCCTTCCCGCCCTCACATCGTCATCTTGACCCCCGCCCCGGACTCTTGTGCCCTGCTGCTCAGTCACGGGATCCGCCTGTCCCCGAGGGCCCTGACTTCCCCGCTGGCCGGGGGCAGCGCCCTGGGCTTCCCTTCCGAGCTTTGCGCGGGACAGGGCAGATAGCAGGGCTTCGCGCACGCCTGCCTGGCGGGGCGTAGTGGGCCTGTCCTCGGGCTGTGTCGCCTGAGCTCCGTCACGTGAGTGGCCCACCTGGGCAGTGGTCATAACCAGACAGGAGAGAAGGAGGCCCCGGTGTACGGGTGGCACCCATAGACGCGTACGCAGTGATGCTGGCGACCCCTCAGCCCCCAGGGGCCCTGCGGGGGTCTCAAAGGCCTGGAGAACCAGCCCCCCCCCCCGGCTTTCCTGCCATGTGCCCATCCTGTGGCAACTGGGGTGGGGTTCCCCTTTGCCCGGGCAGGGCTCCCTATCTAATCAACTGGGGACCAAGGTTGACCGGCAGGGGGGCATGGAACCTGAGTCATCAGCTGCCCAGGGTGCAACATCCTCCGGCTGCACGGGATCAGCCGGGTCTGGAGGTGGCGGGCAGGCGTGTGGCCCTGCCCTTCCAGTCCCCGTGCTCATCCCCTCCTTGGCCATGGGTCCCCAGGGGCCTGGGAACCAGGATGAGGTCACATAAGCTGGCGGTGAGGGAGACCAGGGTCCAATTCCGGCTCTGGCTATTTCTGTTTGGCCTTGGGGCGCCTGGCCTCACCACACTTCTCACAGTGGTCACACCGGAGGCGGGAAATGCGTGGGCTGTTCATAGAAGGAGACGCCATAACGCCAAGGCGCTGAGCCTGCGCAGGGGCCTGGCTCCCGGGTTAATGGTTATGCCGGGTCCAGAGTCTGTCCTCCTGGGGGGAGGGACGCCGACCGGAGAAGGGGAGGGGGCCTGCCCTGCCCCAGACCTGCCCACAGCTTATCGGCTGGGCAGGGCCTCACCCAGACAGCGCTGCGCCCACCGGGACTGCACAGTCCGCTGCTGGCCGCTCCCGCCATGAGGGCCCTGGCGACCGCTCTCGTGCTCAGCATCCTGCTCTTCCTGCCGGCCGAGGCCCAGAAGGGTAGGGCCCCCACCTCTGCGGCAGTGGGGTGGTGGGACGGGCTTGCCATCTCCCCATTTTCCATGAGAACCCGAGGCCACTGAGAAGGGGCAGGTGGAGGAGGAAAGGGGTCAGGTGGCTCCTGTGACCGTTCCCAGGCCAAACCCCGACCCCAGGCTGAACCCCAACATAAGGCTGAGCCCCGACCCCAGGCTGAGCCCCAACCCCAGGATGAACCCCAACCCAGGTTGAACCCTGATCCCAGGCCAAACCCTAACCCCAGGCCGAGCCCCGACATCAGGCTGAGCCTCGTCCCCAGGCTAAACCCAGACCCCAAGCTGAGCCCCGTCCTCAGGTTGAACCCCGACCCCAGGCCGAACCCCAACCCCAGGCTGAGCCCTGACATTAGGCCGAGCCCCGTCCCCAGGCTGAACCCCAACATCAGGCTGAGCCCTATCCCTAGGCTGAGCCCTGACCCCTTCTCTAAAACCCACCTGATGCCCAGCCTTTTCCAAGGTCCCCTCTGTCCGAGCAGCCCCAGATCCCTTCTCCCTGTCACCTTTGGGAGGCCCTCCCGTCCCCTACCTCTGAACCTCACCTGCCAACAGCCACAGGACGTCGCTTGAAGCCATGGCTGGTAGGCCTGACTGCCGTCGTGGTGTTTCTGTTCATCGTCTTTGTCCTCATGCTGGCCAACCGCATCTGGTGCTCCAGAAGGAGGTGGGGTGCCCCTCTGACTTCCTGACCCTCTCTGGTCCCTCCCGCCTCCCCATGTCCCCGGTGGGCCTCAGAACCCCCATCTCACAGACCACAGCCAAGCGGCCCACCTCCCTTGCTTCTTGGAGTTCATGATCCCTGCTGGGAGAGACTGGGGGGAGGCTATCCCCACCCCCTGCCCTTCACCCACCCTCACCCCCCTGTCCTTGTCTCTCCTACAGAGCTGAGGACGACGCATTCGGAATGGAGAGCAACCTGTACCAGGACATGGACCTGAGGTACTGCCTGTGTGAGCGGGTACTGTGACGGGTGCGGGGGGACAGGGACTCTGTGGGAGGCCCCTCGTAGGGGGGATGAGCGTGCACAGATGACCTCTTTCTGCCCTTGAACACAAGTGCATTCCCGCTCCAGGGCCTTCACACTTACGGTCGGCTCTGATTGGAACCCCTTTGCCCATGTCCCCTAAGTCCCCGCTCAGCTGTTCCCTCCTCACAGAAGCCCACCTGGGCCTCCAGCCTTCCTGACACTATGTCCCCACAGCCATGCGGTCCAGACTGGGCTTGGGGACAGGAGAGCAGGAGCTGGGAAGAGACCAGCCTGGCTCGAAGCTTCTCAGCTGAGCCCGGGATATGCCAGAGAGAGGTGTGGACTTGGCCATTTGCCGTGTCTAAGACCCAGCTCGGGCTCAGTAAGATGAGGTTCCTGCTTCCAGGATGTGTGGAGGGTCCAGGTCTCGCCTGGATCCACATAGTTTCCTCCCTGCCTTTGTCCTCTCCACCCATCCACCCATTTACACTCCCACCCATGGATCTACCACTCTGCTTCCTTCTGTTCATCGCCTTCCCATTCATTCATCCATCCTTCCACGCAGCTGTCCACTCACCTAACTACTCACCTAACTACTCATCCACCACCTAACTATCCATCCCTCCAACCGTCCAGCCATCCATTCTCACCCACACCCACCTACTCACCCACCCATTTACCCATCTACATTCCTATTCCTCCATTCGCTGACCCATTATTCTCTCTTTCCTCCGATCGATCTGCTCACCCACCCATTCGTTTATCTATTAATCCCTCCATGCGATCTTCCATCATGTAGCTACCCGTCTACCCGGCCCTCCGTCCACTCTCCCAGTCATCCACCTGCCCGTGCACGGGACAGCTGAGCCTTCGTTTCTGCCTTTGTGAAATGGAAATGAGGCTGCCTCGTTAGGGCTGTTTTGAGGAGTCAATGAAGATACTCCCCGTAAAACACTCATCAGTCACAAGGCCTAGTATAGTAAGTGCCCACTAAATGGGAGTGATTCTGCGTCTTAGTGTGGTCCGGGGCCTTTGTGTTCCTCCAGCAAAGAAGACAAGGAGAAAAAAGAGAAAAAGGCCAAGGAGGAAGGAGAGAGCAACTTGGGGCTGGAACTGGAGGACGAGAAGCCCGCGGACCAGGAGAAAACCAAGAACACAGTCATGTGAAGACTGACCGCCCACTCCTCCAGGCGGACCCCGCCCCCCCCCAGATGTCCCTTCCACACCCTACAACCGATGACCTCACCCTGCAGCCACCGAAACACAGTGCCCCAATGAAGAGGCCTGGAGTCTGCTCCGCCCCCTCCAGGGGAATCCACGGGTCTTTCTTCCCAATTTGCCGCACCCGGTGACTCTTGCACTTGGTTACGGAGAGACCGCCAAGCCCCGGCGACCTCATGGCTCCCCCTGCTGCCACCCCCTACCTGGCCTCTTTTCCCTCTGCCGGATGTCTCCTGGCACAGAGCCCCAGGACCAATATGAGTCAGGGGTCTGCAGCTTGGGGACCTGCATTAAAGTGATCAGAGCCCTTCGCAAGGGCTCCTGTCGTGTCTCAGGACCGTTTCCTGCTGGGAAAGGCAGCTCTTGGTTTGAGGGGTGCCGCAGGGGTGGGTATGGAAGACCCAGCTGCACAGATGCCTGGGGCAAAGTAACCACCCCCCTTGCAAGCCTGATTTTGCTAAGGAACCCTGGACTTTGAGCCCCCGCGGTCTCCAGGGAAATCCTTGCTCCCTCCTCCCTGGGGTTTTGGGTCACGTGACCCCGTTTCAGAGAACCTGCTCTTGGAGGAGGGAGGGGCCCAGGGCCCTGCATTTTCTTAGGAAGAAACAAGCACTTTCTCCTGTTTCCCCCTTCTCCTCACTTTCTCCGGGCCCTGGGCTTTGCCCTGGATGTGAACTATTTCTTAAGAAGTTAAATACCCTTAACGAGGACTTTGACGAAGTATGGCATTTGGGGTTCCGTTCTGGGACCCGTAGCTGGGCTTCTGTCCGGGAACACTTCCAGGATCGTCCACCAGGGGGCGGAAACCCATAAACAGAACGAACGAAATAAAAGCCCTAACAGAGGCTGCCCCTGAAGGCCTGGTATCGTTATCCTGTCTCAGCCAGTACCTAATTAGTCCAATTTCCCAGCTGAAGATACTGAGGCTTAGAAAGAAGGAAGCCACTGGGCAGGTCTCCCTGGCTGTTGCTGGCAGAGCTGGGAGTGACGTCCAGGCTGCCCCAAACAGGGGAGCGCTTGCAGGCTGTGGCGAAGGTCAGATTTGAAGGATGTAGGATGGGGGGGGGCAGGGCTGGGGTGGAGGGTATTCCTTCTTCACCTAGGAGAACTCTGCTCCTCCGCAGTGCTGTGTGGCCTCAGGGAGGCGGCCCGGCCTCTCTGAGCCTGAGTCGCCTCTTCTGCGACGTGAAGACAAGGGTTCTGAGCACCGGAGTGTGAGGCTCCGGGGCCGAAGGGACACTGCCAGGCTTGGCACATACTAGATGCTCAGGAAATGAGCTCCCTACCTTTTCGGAGCCTCCCTCTCCCACGGCTCTGGCTATGGAGCGTGAGGGGATCAGGGTGAGCTTCAGGGAGACAGGGTGCTGGGATGCTTGAGACTCTGGCTCCCCCTACCCTCCAGGGAGCCCGGAACCCAGGGAAGGGAGCCCCACCCTCCCGCTTCCTGCGGCACCGGCCACACCCTGCCCTGGGGTGCCCTGGGCAGCCATCCCACTTCCTCCTCCGGTGGGGGCTGCACCCCAGAACCTGCTGGGCAGGGGCGAGGGCAGACGGAGCAGGATGGATAGATTCTGGACAACCCCCAGCCATCTCTCCCTTCTGGCGGTTCTGGTCTCGCAGCCGGTTCAGGCCCAACCCCGTAAGGCCTTGGGGGGCAAGGAGCGGGGGACGTGGGGGAGAGCACCAGCCTGGCGGCCAGGCCGCTGACCTCGCGCTGCTCCCGCCCGCAGTGGCCCAGAGGAAGCCGTGGCTGGTGGGGCTGGGGGCCGCGCTGGCCTTCCTCTTCCTCGTCTTCGTCCTCGCGGTGGTCTACGCCGTCTGGTGCAGCGAGTCTCGCGACAGGTGGGCCCCAAACTCTCGGAACCCGCCCTCCCTAAGCCTCGCTCCTCTGTGCCCCGCCCTCTCTAAGCCCCGCCCCCTTCGGATCCCCTCTCTGCACCGGCCCCGCCCATCTCTCATCTAATCCCCTCTCCCCTGAGGAGGCTGGGGCTCTGGGGTAATTTTTTGATTCAGAATCGATGGGGCGGGGGTGGGGGGTCTAACATAATCTCGACGACTTCGCTAATGGCTGTCGACCTGCCAAAGGAGGTGGTTTCCTCACAGAGGGCCTCGTCCCTATAGTGTTTCACGTGGGTTCTGTAAAGTCTTTGTCACCTCCCCTCTTACCCCCGTCCATTTATCTACCCAGCTATTCACATCCACTTATCCGTCCATCCACTTATCCAACTACCCATCCAACCCTCCCTCTTTCCAGCCATCCATCATCCCTCTCTTCCTCCTTCCCTCTTCCCAACCTCCATCATCCATCCGTCCATCCATCCATCCATCCATCCATCCATCCATCCATCCATCCATCCATCCATCCATCCATCCATCCATCCTCCATCCTCCACCCACTAACCATCCACCCATCAATCCACCTTCCCACCTCCCATCCACACGTGCACCTGCTCATCTGTCCACGCCTCCCCTTATTCACCCATGCTCCCAGCAGCTGGTCCACCCCCCGCCCCCGCTCTTGCCCATCCAGTTGCCAACAGTTTGGGGAGCCGGGAAGCCAGAGGGACCAGACATTTAAGAGCATCATTTGGGCTCGTGCACCTCAAGCCCGGGCTCCAGCACCTTCTTCCTGTGTCCTCACCTGCCTGAGTCTCAGCGTCCCCTTCTGGACCATGGGAACACGGGCATAGGAATCAGAGGTTCTCGGGAGAATCGTTAAGAGGCCTGCAACACTGTTAAGCCCTTGTTAAACTGGGGTATCTGGGTCCTACTTGTCTCCACAGCAATAACGAGAAGGTGGAGGAGACCGTGAGAAAGCAGGAAGGAGAGGGTGACTGGGACCTGGAGCTGGAGGAGAAAGAGGAGCCTTCAAACCACGCACAAGTGGCGAGTGCCTCCCCATGAAGGCTTCCTGCTCACCTCCTCCAGGCAGCCCCCAGGTGTGCTCCAGGGCCTGCTCTGCACCCTCTAAGCAAAGGCCTGGTTCTGGGGCCAGCAAAATGACTCTGCTAGGGTAAAGTGTCCCCGGATGGAGAGGGCCCAGGACCTGCCCCGGGAGGGCTTCAGCACATTGCCTGGGCATTGCACACCCTGTTCCCAAGCTTGGTTTCTGCCTGGTCATTTTCAAGCTCGAGGGCACCCCTGGACAAGGGGCTGGCCCTGTCCCCGAGATCCCCACCATTTCACATCTCTGCCCAGTCTGCATCGCAGGCATGTTTTTCACCTACTGCCTGATTTTTTTTTTTTCCCATCTGATTTCTGCTGCTTTTCAGATTTCCCCTGAAAAATCCAGCTCCCCTTCTGTCTAAAGGCCTTTCACGGCCCTGCCCCATGAGTGCACAAGAAGCATTTGGCTCCCGGCCCCTCTCCTGGCCTCCGTTTGCGTCTCTGCCACGTGGGAGCTTGGGGGAACCCCCAGCACATCCTGCTCAAGCCCCCTTTTCATAGGCAAGAGGGAAGATGGGGAGAAACCGTGCAGATGGCCCTGCCAGTCCTTGCGGGACCCAGGGCACAGCCAGCCTTCCTTCTGCATTCTTCCTTTGCTGCTCCTGACTGTGAACTTGGAGCAGGCTCCTGGGGAATGAGGGCCCTTTCCTCTGTATGCTGGGTTTCTGGGCCCTGTCCTGGGAGCTGCTGCACCCAGGAGCTGGAGTGTGGGGTGCCTATCCTGCATGCCCGGTGTCGGCTCTGTGGAGAAGGTTGGAGTCCCAGCTTTCTTGCTGTGTGGCCCAGGGCAAGTAACTCAAACTCTCTGAGCCGAAGTGTCCCGCCCTGTAAAAGGGGAGGAAGACGACTAGACCTCCTCTAAGTCCTGGTGACGATGAAGCGAAATAATGTCTACCAAAGTCACGAGCACGGAGCCAGAACCCAAAAGGCGGCTGATGAACGTCAGCTCTTTGTCATGCTGGAATGGTGACCGTGCTGCGGGAGGAGCCTCTCGACTGAGGGGGATCCGAGGCGCACAGAGTGTGTCTTCAGACCGCGCAGGAATTGTCTGCCACCAGCCTCTTCTGAGCTGTCAGTCTGCGGTCCCCGAGGCTTGGGGGCGGAGGGGAGGGTGAGGGGAGGGGTTGTCTGGTCTTATTTTCCGCAGGGGGCGGGACTTCCTCACTCGGGGTCGTCTCGAAAGTTTAGGGGACACGTTTTTTTGGCATTGTCACAAGCCTACCCCCTTTTATGGCATTTAGTGGGGACCCATGGATGGCAAACAGCCTGCGATGCTGTGACAGCACCCCCAAAGAATTGTTTCAGCCTAGAGATCAATAGCCGAAAAACACTGAGGCTTTCCTTGAGATCGAAGGCCAGATTGAGCCTCCCACCCCAACTGAGCCGCGACCCATGCTGGGTCCTCACCCTCAGTATCGGGCCAGCGTCCCCCTTTCCTGCTGCCGGGAGGGGCGGGACCGTGAGTATGGGGGCGGAGGGGACTGGGGCTGCCTGCGGCTCCCTCCCCCCAGAGCCCGATTTCTGGGTCCAGGTCCTGAGCCCGCCCACCGGAGAGCGCCAGGCTGAGGGCAGGAGCAAAGGCCCAGCCGAGGAGTGGGGAGAGGGTTGCAGCCAGCAGGGGCGCTGCCGGGGAGGCCGGGACCCAGAGGTCTGCGCCACCACCCAGAGCAGGTGCTAACCAGGGGGGCTGGACTGTTCTCTGTGGGGGACCGTCCTGGGCACTGGGGCGTTGAGCAGCATCACCCCCCACTCCATGCCAATAGCTTCTTCCCCCCAGTCATAACCACCACAGATGTCCCCAGACGTTGGTGAATGTGCCCTGGGGACATCTGATCTACAGGCCTCAGGAAACCTGCCGGCTCCCACAAAGTGTTGGGGTCCCCGGCCCTGCGGCCACCTGTCTCCCCCTCCCCCGCCCCCAGCCTCTTCCCTTTACCTTGGCACGGAACACAGAACAGCCTGCACCGGGCACAGAAAGGACTAAGACAGCCAGGAGGAGTCGAAGCATAGCTTGTTTAATTTTTATACATTTTTTTCTTTTTTTTTGCTTTTTATTGA